ACGTCTTACCATCGTTGTAACGACAATAATAATAATTTATTCAGTACTTTGGCCGCAGGCCTTATTTACAAGTGTTACAAAAATGATGTGTACAAAGAGTGTTACAAAAATAATAAGTGCAAGAAGTGCAAGTAAAGATCACAAAAGAAAAGAAAAACACATTTTTTTAAATACTATCTCGTATATTATATGCCTGTATTAAATAGCATGCTATGTTTCTCTGTAAATGTTTGTTATTTGTTTTCATTAAGTTATTAAATTTAATTGGATCTGGGTAAGTATAATAATAAGCTGGTAAGTATGTTTTCCTTTTGTCAGAATAAAGTGGACAGCATAACAGGAAATGAAACTCGTCTTTAACGATATCACGACAAAAATTACAGTAACGTTCATTTCTAGAAATGTTTTGTCTCCTGCCTGTCTCAATGTGCTGATATTCTAAACTTACAAAGCACATTTAACAAATGTGATCTATCAAAATTACGTAAATAACTTGGGCTGTCATTTACTGCAGCTGACCACTGTTGCAAGTCTATATCTCTGCAACGTTGCTTAAATATATTTAAAAATGATAATTCATTTCCCACCCCCTGTGATAGCCATACCGTATGAAAATAATATTTTTTTTAACTGATAATGCCCAACATTGTTGATAACTTTGAGATTTACCATACTGAAAATGATAACACTTAAAAACATATCCATTTTCATTCATCTTTAGTATATGCAACCAATATTTAATAATACGTAAATACATTTGTACTTTTAGGGTATAACGCCCCAATCCCCCCCCCCTAATGCAAGAGTGGATGTGTTGTCGCCTACATTCAGAGCATATCTACAAAATGTATTATGAATATTTTCTATATGCTTGACATCGTGAAACCCCCAGATTTCGCTACTATATGATAAAATCGATAGTACCTTTGAATCGAACACTGTAAATAGCAAATTGATTGATAAGTATTTGTAATGCCGTAAACATTTTTCAGATTAAAAGTACTTTTGCTGGCCTGATTTGCGATTGTTTGCTGGGCTTGAAAATAAGCTCCAAAGGATGAAAACACGATTCCTAAATAGATATAAAACGGTACCACTTCAATTAGTTTTCCTCCGAAAACCCAGCTCTCATAGTTTTTCAACCGCCCACCCCTTTTGAATACAATAATTTTATTTATGAAATATTTACTGACAATTTCCATTGTTGACAATAAGCTGAAAGACGATCTAATAATCTTTGCAGCCCGATTACACAGCTACTGAATAGGCACCGGTCGTCTACATACAATAAGTAATACAATTGTAAATTACCA